CACAAATGGAAAACCCACCAGCTTTGTGTTAGTTCTAGGGACCTACTATGGACGAGACAGCCACAAGTACCTCCTACAGAGACCAGCAGCAATGTTATCCGGGCTTAAATGGAACCAGGAAGGCATCATTGTCTGTCTTGTCTTGGGAGACCTTACGCTAACAGACCTCTTTAAGGTCCCTTAGTGTCATGTCATATTTGCAGCAGTGATGTTTGACTTGAGACTAACTGATTGGATTTTCGCTATAATTGCACCTAAGTCCCAAGGAACCAGCCAGAGCCTTAGGTGAATAACTTAAGCATTTAATTTATAATAAAGTTTGCAATCAGCATTTCTTGTTCCAAAACATTCCATTTACTTGGTTTTAGAGCTGCATAAAATGTTTTAAAGGCAATCTGCTCAATTGGGCGATTTAATGATATTGAATTTGACCGGTCAAACGTCACTGGATGAGCATCCCGTCTATAATCACAGCCATCATCACTGCTGTTTTGTGTAATGTAGATGCAGTGCTAATCCTAAGAATAAAGGTTGTCATTCTCGGTTGGCTGATGGCGTGCACCGGAGTCATCACCTCGCTAAGTCTCTCAGTGATGTGATTCCAAGATGACAGTGTAATAAGTGTTATGTGCACAAGGTAATTCAAAACAAATTTGGCTGCAAAATGGATCATCTAGGATAGTAAACTCCCATCATCTTTTAAGCGAATGTAATGATCCTTAAAATACTTTGTCAAGAAGCTCATGTGGCAGGGGTCAAGTCCTGTAAAATTTATCTGTTGCACCCCCACACCCCCCAAGGATCCCAACTCAAGGACTGAAAATATTAATGTGTATATTGGTAGCTCAGGAACACAGGATGGACAAAGAGCTTCCTGTGAAATAAAGAAGCCTTTCATTATACAAATGTCTCTTAAAACCACCTAACCAGGCTAGATTTTGCTTCTTTGATTTATAGATTGTTTTCTCCGGGGAAATGTGACTATTCTGCTATAGGATCCCCATTAACACTGGTATCTTAGTAAATATTTATTATTTGCATGTTAGGCACTGTAAGTAGATTATCTCATTTCCACTTTATAATAATCCTAAGAAGCGTGACACTACAATTATATTTATTTTGCAGATGAGGAAACAGACTCAGAACAGTTAAATTGCCCAAAGCCAGCAGCCAGGATTCCAACCTAGCCTGGGCCCAAAGTTGCCTTCCCTGCACACTCCATCTCTGAGCTGTGAGGGAGGACAGGTCACCTGGCATCTGGAGGGGCTTATTTGAACTGTTTGAGTGGAAACTGCATGGCACTGGGCTACTGAAATTGTTCCCTCAGGCACAACTGTCACAAATGCTTTTCTGTGGAACCCAGCCATAAGCAGAGGACAGGTCACCTGGCATCTGGAGGGGCTTATTTGAACTGTTTGAGTGGAAACTGCATGGCACTGGGCTATTGAAATTGTTCCCTCAGGCACAACTGTCACAAATGCTTTTCTGTGGAACCCAGCCATAAGCAGAAGTGACATGCTTGTGTGGGGTGAAAGGGCATTTCTCAGATACCATCAAGTTCCAGGCCTCTCTTGGGGTTGCCACTGCTCTTTTCTCTGTAGCCTGAGCAGTAGAGAAGTTGTAGGTATTGTTGCATCAGTGCCTTTTAATCATACCCGAAGTCAGACAGATACAGAAGTCTTCCTGCTTTTTGTAATTGAGTGCCTAAGGACACAGGGGCACTTTTTGCCCTGGGAATCTGCTTAGCTTGTCCTTCATGTATCATGTTCTAGGTACCATTGAAACATTTACTCAGTGGCGCTAGCATTGATTTATAAAATCTATCCAGGTAAAGCAATAGCTGCCATCACTTTTCTGTAAAAACGAGCTGATTAAGATGCATACCTAATCAGAGCAACATTTTCATTCCTTCTTTTGTGCAGAGAGGAGAATGTCTGTAGGAACAAATGAGAATACATTCATGCTTAATTTTATAGTACGTCTATGTGATATTTACTCCTGTTAGGATGTTTGGGGTTGTACGTAGTTAAAATCCAAGCCAAATGGCCTAAAGTATGACGAATGTATTATCAAATATGACAAGAAGTTTGGTGATAAGAGGTTCTAAGCTTGGTTAGTTCACTTGCTCAAAGATGTCATCAGAAACCCCAATTCTCCCATTTTTGTGCTGTACCATCCTCAGTATGTTAATTTGGGCAAGGCCGATTCCTCACATGGTCCCAAGATGCTGCCACAAGTCCGATTTTAAGGATGAACAAGACCTTAAAGCTCCCTAGCAGATCTGCCCTCCTATCCTGTCAGCCAGAGTTATATTGCCTGCCCATGCCTTAACCCATCACCAGGCAAAAGGAACCGAGACGACCATGGTAGGCCAAAGCCGATCAGAATCCACCCCGCAAGTCCCCGCAGTAGATCTCTGATCTAGTGGGAAGGAAACAGAGTGATAGTTCTCTTGATAGTTCTCTTGGCAGTGAGGAAGGAGGGGCGCTTGCTGACCACCCCCTGACATTGCCTGCTGTGGCATTTGCAAGATCTCATTGTGTGTGCAGAAAGGAAGGACTCACAAATTCCTTTTCAGACACAACTGGAGGGCTCCTGGGGTCTATTTCCCCTCCCTCTATTCATGTAGCTTAGTGTTTCTCTAAAAGAGAACAAGTTGAAGAGGAAAAAGATACCATAGTGAGAAAACCCCATGTTCATTCTTTTAGCAAAAGGCCTGGTATTTATACATAAACAGAGAAAACACATATTTGATATATCTTGCAGGACCCAGTCAGAGATCTGAATGTCTGAGTTCATTGTGGGTAAAACTAACTTTGGAACAAGCCATGCCCAGTGAATGCCAGACAGAAAACCATGTGACCAGATGGCATTGGCCACACCCACCTCTCCTGTGGGTGCTGTACATTCCACTAAGTTACTCCCAGGAACAAGTTTACTACTGCGTTTTAAATCCCTGTGTTAACTGACTCATGGTGCCACGCATTAGTGGAAAATAAGGCTCATATTGTTCTGCCCCAGCAGGAACTTCACAGTTCTTCAAGGTGTTTTCCATTCCCCCACTCCATTCCCACCCAGCCCAAGCCCTCAGCAGTCCAAGGCTCTAAGCAGGGATGAAGTCACGAAGGTCAACTAGTTTGGAAAGCTAGAAGGCATTGTGATTTTTTATTCTTTTCTACAAGAAGGGAGAGGGAAGACAGTTGTGCTAAAAACTGCTGTTCCCAGTCCTCCAGGATGGGGGATTTAAAAGTTCAGTGGTTCAGACTTTCCCTTATGGACTGGTGCACTTGAATCACTTTGGGACCCAGAGTTCCTGTTCTGCCCCAAACCCTCACGATGTAAGTAAATTACTTAAGTGGATTGAATCCAAATCATTAATGACCTCCACTGGCATGATTCATTAGGGCTTCATTACGAGGAAAGATTCCGACATCTATTCCTTAATCCAACAGTTGTTTACATTGCACTCCAACCTGAGAGTTGTTGTCCCTGTGGGGCTGGAGTGAAAGGGTTTAGGGTAAAAAAACAAACAGAAAAAGTTGTATAATCAATACTCATGTTCTGCTTGGACAAAGAGAAGCCAAAGTGCTCTACCTCAGAGGATGGACCTAATTGTCAGCACACTTTGAAGTACAAGATACGAAGGGGAAAAACCGTGTATGCCAGACAGAAAAGGCTGTGGTTCAATGTTCATTTTGACATTTATAAGCAAATGCTAAACACATGCATATTGAAAGAATGGAATATTAACCTAAGAGGTTTAAACTCAGGAACGTCTATGTTAAGTGACTTGAATGAGACAGTGTTCTCCACAGAAGATTGGAGAAACTGAGGAACTTCTGCAGCAATATATAAGGTGGAATATGATTCTTATACCATCATTTTATATTTGATTTTAAAAGGCTACCAACCACTTGGGGGATGATATTGAAATGTTTCAGAGCCTCATAAGTTTCATGCAGTCCAATCATAAGACGTTACCAAACTGCACATAAAATAACTACCTGAACGAAATTCCTTCGTGTTATAAGGGAGGGGAAGGGAGAAGATAAATTAAACAGTTGGACTTCCATGTTACTTGGAATGACTTCATTTTTTAGAAATGAGATTTTGGTTTCTATTTCATCTTGCATAAGCTGTTCTAAAGATAACTGTGTTGAGTTAGTTTTGATCGTACCATTGGAGAGAATCCTGGACATAGCATGAACTAGTAAGGTCATCTCATGTGGTTTATTTGAGGCTGCAGAGGAGGGAGATAAACATAATTTTGGTCCTGCCAACTTCACAGGACTATGATGAAGGAATTGTTGAGAGGTATCTTCATTTAAGTCATGCAGTAGACAGTAGATACTCAATAAGTACAGGCATTAGGGATGCAGCGGTAGCAGAGCACTGTACACAGTGGAAAACAAAACAGCAATTAAGCTAGCTGTTGTTTCTCCAAACACCAGCCATCTGAGTTCCTTTTCCATGATATTTGCCATGTCCATCTATAGCCTGTGCTATCATTTACATCATATTTTCAATGGACTTTTTAAAGAAAAGCAAACAAGTTCATTTTAAAAAGAAAACCCATATAACTTCTATAGTATCACCTGACACAAACTGGAAAAATACACACCATTAAAACATAGCAATGTAATTAATTTCTAGTTAGCTATTATTGCCTGATAAAGGCTCTGAGCCTGAGGCTGGTCTTTTCTTTCACAGGCAAGATTAGCAAGTGATGAAATTGCATTAAAGACACTGCAGTAGGAAGCCAAGACTTCCCCGCTGTGAGATTTAGTGTTAACTGCCAGATCTGTGTGCCTCCAAACTCACCCCCTTCCCACCAGGCATTCTTTGGGAAACCTAAGCATAGAGAATTGAAGTTCTTGGACACCCCCATGTGCTTGTTTCTTTTAGCAGCTTACCCATGAAAGCAGTCAAGGCATGTGTCAATCTTTCCAGTTTTTGCTCAATTATAATCCTGTCCCACCTTAAATATTTTTCAACAGGTCAACGGCAAAGACTTATCCAGAGCGACCCATGACCAGGCTGTGGAAGCTTTCAAGACAGCCAAGGAGCCCATCGTGGTACAGGTGTTGAGGAGAACAGCAAGGACCAAAATGTTCACACCTCCTTCAGAGTCGCAGTTGGTGGACACAGGAACCCAAACCGACATCACCTTTGAACACATCATGGCCCTCACTAAGATGTCCTCTCCCAGCCCGCCCGTGCTCGATCCCTACCTCTTGCCAGAGGAGTAAGTCGTGACTGCCAATCACTAATGTGTTAAGTACGATAAAGAAGGATGGTAACAATCCATGTGGTGAACAAAATTAATGTGTCTGATAATCCTCCTCCAAGTTGCCCGTGTTTAACTTTATTGTTTATAGAGGCAATAAATCGAATCCTGCTCAGAACCGCTCTGACATATTAATTACTTTATTATAACCCTGGAGCAGAGTTATTTAAATTATATTCTAAGAACAAAATTACTTACAAATGTTGTAAAAAGTTGTCTCAGAACAACATTTAATCACTGCAAATGGTAATTTGAAGATTTTGTAGTCATCACCAGAGGGGAAGCTGATTGTTCTCTTAAATAGATGACAAAGGAAGGTGTGAGTGTGAAGAGAGCCCTGGAGGTTGTGCATTCTGCTTTCTCGGGTCCCATTTCAAACATGGATCCATGTAATAACCCACACCTGCCTCATATAAGTACTGCATATTCCAATTAAATAACAACTGTGACTCAATGCACTACATTAATTTCTTTACACATGAGCCTTCTCTCACCTATGCCAGAGACATAGAATAGTTCAGAGCCTTTGAGTCAGACAAACCTGATGCTCACACTAATTTCTAACTGTGAAACATGGGTAATTTTTACTTTTTTGGACTGTATTTTCCTATATTAAAATGGGGATAACAGTATCAATCTCATAAGATTGTTGAAGAATTAAATAATGTATGGAAAGTTCACAGCAAGGCATATGATAAGCACTCAATAAATGGAAGCAGCGATTATTGTTAATTTAGTGACTGATGTAAAATATTCAGGAAAAAATGAAGAGCAAGAAACTTTCTGGGGTAGATTGCTGTTTTAAAAGAGGACTAGTTTAATGTAGCTTTTCATATGTGACTTTGCACGTCAGAGACACAGCCTCTCTCACTGTTGTTAGGATCACCCCTGTCTCTTCCCATCTTGGCTCTATTTTGAGTCAGATCATTGACTTGATGCATTATTTTGAAGTGTGTTTCCACCTTTTACAAGGAAAACCTCTGAGTGGTACCTGTTGGATTTCTATTAGTAACTCAATAGCTGGAGGGAGCACATGTTCCCTGTAGTTCTGTCAAATTCTGGACAAAGGCTGGCCTTTCATCCTGTGGTTTTAGTGGTTAGCTGTCATCAGAATCCAGGACTAATTCCCCAGGCTTGACAAAGTAAATTCAGCTCCAGCTGACAGCGTGTAAAAGTAGAGGGTGGGCATTTGTCTGACATTCACTCACAGTGTGCAGGTGTGCAAAGAACTGTTGTCTCCTTGATTTCTCACAACTGTCCCTTCTATACAGATGAGGAACTGCAGACTCACCAGGTGCTATGCAGCTTAAGTTGGCAGCGACTGGTGGAAAGGCAGGCCTGTTGGACCTCAGCTCCCAGCTCTTAATCATGATGTTCTGTTGTATCCAAGTTGATCCTATAAAACAACTGGCCGATTCACTGAGTATGATCGTTCAAACCAGTTATCTGATGTTGTAGACCCAAACTGTCTCACATTATTGATGAGGCCTTTAAGTCTACAGCTGACTTTCAAATATTGAACTGTCACAGTGATGGACCTTTTAGAAGCCAAACCCCTAATTTCCTCTTAAGTCTAGTTAACATGACATGACTTATCCCTCAGGGGTGACTTGAGAAATGTCAGAAGAGTCTAGAGGTCAGGCCTCTGCAGGTTCTGGCTACAAGGTCAGACAACAGCAAGAGCATGTGTCGGGATTGAATGAGGAGTGTTAAGTTGATGTTTGAAAGCCCAGGCCTTCCAACAGTATCCTTAGTACTAAAAGCCCCTTAAGTGCAGGCAGTATATTTGCCTAATGGGTCCAGAAAATTGAAAGCCAGCCATTGTTTGAATGAACACGCCTGTCTGATCTGTTGTTGCAAAACTAAGTGCCTGGGAGGGAAGACCAGAGCCCATTGATTGCTGTGCTGACCTTTGAGCAGGTGAAGGTTTGGGTCCCCAGCCAACAATCAGAGGCTGAAGCTTTCCATCTGCATCTGGCACCATGGATGCTAAGCTCCTTTCAAAGCCACTGACCAAGCATGTTATAATTCCTACTGCCTTCGCTCCTAGAGGTTCCATTAATGACATTTCCAAAGGGGTGAGGGGGGGGGGTCTGTGAGTTGTTTTACATATGTTCTAGAGAAACACAAGCTTCCTGTCTCCTAGCAGAATGAGTGTGTGTATGTACATTTATGCCTGCATGTGTGTACATTACATACATTGTATGTGCATACTGAGTTGTGATGGCAAACTTCTTTTTGTGGGTATAGTCAAAAAGTTTGAAAAGACACTTTTGTAGATGATAGCACAACAGTTTCAGTCATAGCCCTTTGAACTAGTCTCAGAGTCCAGCCCATGTCATTGAGTGCTGCCTGAAGTCAAGCCTTTTCTCTTCAGAGATAAAATCGAACAATGAGGTAATAGCGGTAAATATGGGCCTGTCTCTAGGCAGAAGACCGAGTTAGATGTTAGTCACATTTAATCACGTGGCTGGTGCACTAAGGGATGGACTCTGGAAACAGCCTGGCACCTTATATCTTAACTCCTTCCAAAGGAAATGGACTCTAGGACTAATGGTGGAAATATGATCGAGGTCCTGACCATGCTAAGAGCCACATTTAGAGAGAAGTGAGCCATAAAAGGGCCCACACCCTGAGAACTGCTGCCCTGCTCTGCTGGCCTGATGATGGGATAATAAGCACGGATACCTATACTGGAAGCAGGGCCTGAAAGATCTTTCATCTCTTTTCAGGCATCCTTCAGCCCATGAATACTACGATCCAAATGACTACATTGGGGACATCCATCAGGAGATGGACAGGGAGGAGCTGGAGCTGGAGGTATGAAGAATGGCTTTGTCTCATTTTATGAGTCATTATTAAGAACACAGAATGCCTAATAAGTTCTGTATAAGCAGAAATTCAGTTTACAGATGCTGATGAAAAATATCAAAAGCAAAATCACTCTCCATTCAAAACAGAGCTTAACAATCAGGTCTCCAAAGCAGAAATTTAGGTATCTTTTATTTGAATCACTTCAAAAATAGGACAATTCCTGTTCTCAACCTTCGAATCCACGTAATCTGTACATTCTTGCCACTAACGTGAGCCTTATCACCTTCCTACCTTATGTCATCACCACTTTTTTACTCAAAGGTAGGTGCTCAAGAATAGGAGGATAAGTTACTAAAGTGATGCAGCCCACCCCCAACCAACAGAGTCTGCCCCCTGATTCACTTGCTCCAAGTTTTCTTTCTCTTTCTTTCTTTCTTTCTCTTTCTTTCCTTCCTTCCTTCCTTCCTTCCTTCCTTCCTTCCTTCCTTCCTTCCTTCCTTCCTTCCTTCCTTCCTTCCTTTTCCTTTCCTTTCCTTTCCTTTCCTTTCCTTTCCTTTCCTTTCTTTCCTTTCTTTCTTTTCTTTCTTTTCTTTCTTTCTTTTTTTTTAATTTTTTTTTTATTTTTAAATTTTATTTTGTCGATATACAATGAGGTTGATTA